TCTCTCTACCGGGTTGCGGCACGAACGGGTCTTTGGGACCTGACACTCAGTCTTGTTGAAACAAGCCAGCTTCGTGACTCAGGTTGGGGGGGGGGGGTCCGCGCCCAGTACCTCGTCACTTGGTCACTGAAGGAGCCCTTCGTTAGGTTCTCAGGGTGCTTGTGCTTGGCGCTGCTTCCTGAGAGATGCCCTGCCCTTCGGGCTTTGGCTCTGCTCCTGAGTCCTCTGGCCCCTCTCACTGTTCCTTTCATAATTGTACTCGAGAAGACTGCTCGGCTGTCCGTAGATTCCAGCAGGTCTGTGCCCACTGGGAGGGTGACTTTGTGGCCGCAGTGAAGTGCCGGTAGCCAGGCTGGATCCTGACCCCAACTCGGCGGCCCAGGCCAGGGCGGTGTTTCCTGCCACGCATGTCCATCTGCCTCACCTCTACAGAGCTCTCATGTGTTGGGAAACCTCCACAGAACCTCCACGAACAGTGTTGGGTTTTGCCGAGCACTCAGGTCCCTTGCTGTGTGGCTTCTCTGGTTTCACACGTGAGGGTCTGAGGGCCTGCAAGCTTGCAGCTGCCCCAGCTCGCGTAGCATGTAGGCCCGCCAGAACTGTTCATGGGGGCACCGAGCCAGGGCTCTTTCCCCTGCTCAGAGAACTCTGATGACATGCATCCTGTTTAGAGGTCACCTCCCCATTCTGGATGCCTCATTTAGAAATAGAATGGGTAGAAGTTGAATGTGCAGAATACTACAATTAATCCAGTTTAAAGTGAATCGTATCCATAGCCCGTGTAAAGAAAACCTGCTTCAGGATCTGGGACTAGTTGTTTCCAGGGGTTTTCCAGGTCTGATTCAGTGTAAATACAAATCTTCTAGGCCAGCCGTTCTTACCCTGGCTGCATGCTCAAGTCACCTGAAGGAGCTTTAGGACAAAAACCAGAGGCAAAGCCAGGCCCCAACCCAGTCCCGTCCCGTCAAGTCAAGCCTGGCTGTGGGCAGGTCAGCAGCGGGTTAGGCTGTGGGCTGCTCCGTCAGGGTGCCGCTGGGCTGAGGCGCCGAGGACAGCAGGGATGTTCCTTATCTAGAGGAGTGACGATTCAGCACGAAGTGCGCAGACCTCTCTGTACGGAGGCTGAGAGACAGCAGTGCTGGTTAATAATGCAGCTCCCACAGGCTCCATCCCTCGCTCTGCGTGGAAGACGTGCCTGGAAGTACCGTGAACCCGTGGCCTGTCAGATGGAGTCTTTTTGTTTCCCTCATTTTAGGGACGGTCGTGTCTTGGGTGTGCTGGAGGTGTCACGCTCCATCGGGGATGGGCAGTACAAGCGCTGTGGGGTCACTTCGGTGCCGGACATCAGACGCTGCCAGCTGACCCCCAATGACAGGTAACAACGCCACAGCAAAGGCACAGGGTCTCGTTCTCTTCCCGACTTGTAGTTTGGATCCTGAACCTGGCGTGGGTGGGGGAGGCCCTGTCAGGGGCACTGCCCGGGCCTGGCGGGGCAGGACGGACAGACCTGGGGTGGGGGGCGGCGCCCCAGTCTGGTAGGCGAGCGTACATGTGAGTGGGTGATTCCGGCACCATGTGTCAGGGGAGCATGGGGTGCTCTGGGAGACTTGGGCCACATCCCTTTTGGAGGAAGGAGAAGGGCTGTCCAGCAGAGGGAAGACCCACAAAGCCCTTATAGTGGGACAGAAGAACAGAAGGCCGGGCAGATGCCCGTCCTGGAGAGTGATGGAGGAGTGACAGCAGGGCGCTCTGGGGTTGGGTTGGGAGGGGCCCTGAGTCCCGCGCTGAGGAGCTTGAATTTTAGCTCGTGCTTGCTGGAGAACCGGGGCTGGTATTGAAGCAGAGCCAGGCTGGGTGGGGAAAGAGGTGGCCGTGCTCGGCTGCCCACGGGGATGGCGCCCCGCCCAGCCACAGCCAGGGGCCACCCTCGGTGAGGAGCCCCTGCTGGGCCTGCTCCCTGTGCTGTGCGAGGGAGCCTCCTCGTGGCCCTCCCTGCTCGGCCTCTGCCCAGTCTCCACTCCTGCCTCTGGCCTACGCGGCCGCTGTGCTCTTATCAGCCTTGGGGGCCTGGGACACTTCCACCAGCCCCTGTGGTTCTCTGAACCCCGGGCCCCCTGTTGTGTGCACTGTGCTAGCGCCCCTGCTCTGGGTCGTAGTTGTGGGTTTGTGGGACAGGTCGCTCAGGGTCTGTCACCAAACTGGAGTGGGCGGGAGGGAGCCTGCCCGGCCTTGTGCCTGCTGGGTTCCAGGCACACCGTGTGATCAGTGAGTCCTTTGGATGAGTGCCCCCTCAGAGGAGGAAAACCAAGACCTGGGTGTGAGAATGAGCAAACGAGCATCGTGCCTCAGCACTGTGGGGAAGCTCATGTCTTAGCCTTTGAGTAGCTGGACAAGTATTTATCTTATCTCCATCGTCACGCTGTTTTATAAAGTTTGCTGCCACGGCCCGTTTATATTTCTCGTCCGTGCTGTAGGTTCATTCTGCTGGCCTGTGACGGCCTCTTCAAGGTCTTCACGCCGGAAGAAGCGGTGAACTTCATCCTGTCCTGCCTGGAGGTAAGAGAGCTCACCAGCGAGGACCAGCTGTGGGAGCTGCGCTTGGGGTGCGGACCTGGGGCAGTTTGCCACGGTGAGCTCCCCCGCAGGGACTCCCTGCTTTGCTCTGACGGTGGCTGGGGAACAGCGCCACCTTGTGGAGATGGCGTCTCGGAGGGTGACAGGGGACCCTCTCCTGCCCCCTAGGATGAGAAGATCCAGAGCCGGGAAGGGAAGCCCACCGTAGACGCCCGCTACGAAGCCGCCTGCAACAGGCTGGCCAACAAGGCAGTGCAGCGGGGCTCGGCGGACAACGTCACCGTGATGGTGGTGCGGATAGGGTCCCCGTGAGGGCCAGCGGGGCAGCGAGGGTGCGGCGGGGCCGGGGGCGCGGCATGGTATTGACTTCACAGGTTCATCGTGTGTGTGTGCACAGTCTGTGTGTTTCGTGTACTCCTGTGGGACTCCCATGGTTGTAAATAAAGGTTTCTTTTTTTTTCTTAGTGTTTTATTTTATTAGATTTGAGCAATTCTTGACCCTTCAGGGGTTGTGTGTGTTTCTGGGTATGCTCTGGGTCTTCCTTATTAAACCATCGTTGGCATCTTGGATTGGCCCTTGATAGTGACCCACGAGCTGCTCAGTGTGCACGGTTTTGTAGTTCCTGGCACCTTTCCTGTGCTCTCGCCCTTGAAATGACCCTGGTTGGGGAAGTGGCATTGTACGGGCAGGAGACTGAGGTAGGAACCTGCCCAGACAGGCTCTCAGAGCCAAGGGAGGCTACATAAACGTTGCGGAGCAGGATGTGAGGTTTCGCTGGGGAACAGTGCCGGATACGAAGCTACTCCTCTCTGGAGTAGCGGGTCTCGGGCAGGCCCTCCCAGAACGGCATGGAATTCGGCTGCTTTCAGATTCCACCCCACTGATAGTAGATGCTGTGTGTGGCCCAAGGACTGGGGGCCCTGGCATTCCCGGGACTGGCATCTGGATGCCGTGGGTGGGAAGCGGGCAGGCTCCTGCTTTGAGCAGTCAGGCTGCCGTTCGCAACGGCCCCGGAACTCCAGCTTCCAGTTTCGGGAATGTGTGTTGTGTGTGTCCCGTGCCGGCTGAGGCCAGTCTTTGCGGGAACACTTGGAAGGGGGACCCTTGTGATAAAGCCATTAACAAGGGCGTAACTAGCCTGTATACAAGAATGAAGTACTTCTCGAGGCCTTGTGTAAAACAGGTCACACGGTCCCTGTTAACTGTATTTCAGTAAAGCGGCTCCTAGGCCTTGTGTAGAGCTTGCCTCAGGATGATGAAAGTCTCTAAAACCTTGCCTGGGAAGAGGCTGTTTGCTAATGCTCTCAGGCCCCCGCCCAGCACACGCCTTATCGCCCCTTCAGCTCCGTTAGCAGAGCGGAGTCCCTGCTGCAAGTACCTCGGGAGCGTTTTGAGCACACCCTTCCCCAGTGTGGAGCACAGGTTCCATCCCTGACAGCGTACGGCAGGCACCCCTGAAGGAAGGACCCCGGCACCCCAGAGCTGGAAATAGGACAGTTAATTGAGTCCACATCTCCCCACCGCAAACCAGGCGCCCCTAACTCCCTGAACACCACCGTCCCAGAGCTGGGGGTGGCTTCGCGTGGAGGCTTCCCTGGCAAGCCCCCACCCCTGCCACGGTCTTCACGTGATCCAGGCCCCCCCGCCCCGAGTGGGAGGCCACCCTCCACCTCCCATCCCCCAGTCCACTGCTCGCCATCCGCAGTGGGCCTGGGTGAAACGATGAAGATAACTGGATAGTCACGTAGCACGAGAACTCTGACGTACTTGAGCATCTCATCCGGTCAGTTATATATATAAATAAATTCCATCTGGCAACATTACACAATAAATACTTCAACAAAGTGTGGTATAATACACTTAGGTTGAGCAAAGGAAAGATCTGCGGCTTTTTCAAGGGTGAGGGAGAACTTTGAAGTATCCGTGCCCGCTGGGTGCAAAGTGAAATCCAGAGAAGGGTGTGGCCCCACAGCCCTTATCAGAGCCCTTCCGGGTAGGGCGGGTTCGGGCCCTACTGAGAATCGCGCCCGGCCTGCCAAGGGCACCACGTGGCTCCCTATGTGTGGGGCGCCTAGGGCCCCCCTAGGCCGGGAGGGAGGGAGTGGGTTCTCAGTGGAGATGGACGCTGTAGGCTCTGGGGGTCCGGCAGACCTGGCCACAGTCACCTGCTCCGCCTGACGCCAGCTGGACAGTCCCTGTGACTGCGGCCACTGCCCTGTTCTCTCTAGGCCTGGACACACCCCTGTCAGACCAGCCTGGCCTCCAGGACACCTTGTGGTACCATGTCTCTGCAGCCACGCAGGGGGTGGGGGGGGCCCTACACCTTGGAAGGAACCTGCTGCAGGTAGATGCCCGTGTCCCCCCCTCCAAGACTCCCCCCGCCACCCCGGTCCCATCACTGCTACAGCATCACAGTGGACTCGGGACCCAGGTCTTGGGGAACCAAGACCAGCCTTCTGGGCACCATCTCCATCTGTCTTTTCCCCACCTGAGCTCAGGGCCACCTGTCTCCCCAGGGGGAAGACACATGGAAGAACCGCAGAGCCAGCTGGACCCTGCGGGGCCACAGGTGGGCAGCGGAGCTGTTGGCTCCTGGGAAGCCTCTGCTTTATCTGTTCAGATGGATGGGCAGGGCCTGCTCGTCTCTAATCTGCAAAGATGTTCTAGATCTTTTGTTTGGTGGCTGGATCCCAACGGTGAGTCAGAGCCTCCTAGGAGATGGGAAGAGGGACCTGTCTAGGACAGGCTTTACAGCGGAGGGGGGACCACACGACGCTCTGCAAAGGCCATCTGCAGGGTGAACTTACGCGTTCTCCTGCACATGTTAGACTCTCACTGTCCCCCCATAAGCCCCTTTCCAGTGTCACTCTGGTGCCCGAGGCTGCTGTGCCAAGGGGCCATGAGACTCTCTGAGTCCTGTGGTCACTGCAGGAGGTCCAGGCCAAAGGCACCGGTGGGGAGAGGCAGGTGGGGAGCAGGAAGCCCCGGGTGGAGACGAGGGGAGGGACGGGGAGGCTGCTGTGCAGGCCCAGCACGCTTTTCCTGGGAGGCCCTCTGGCCCGGTGCAGGCTGCCCCTCCTCTCCGCAGGGCATCCAGGCAGGTGACCAGCCTTTGCCCTCCGTGCTGGCGTTCCGGCAGCCCACAAAAACACTAAAAAAAAATGGAAAAGGTGGGACTGGGCCAAGGCAAAGAGGCTGAGGCCATCTGGGCAAGCTGCCCTCTGGACCAGAAGAGGAACCGGTCTGCGACCAGGAACAAAAGCAAGTCCTCCTGGGCACTAAGCCCCGCTAGAAACATGGGCTGAATAACAGCCCAACAGGGCTCTTCTCCTTTTGAAAGACGGCACCCTGAAATCCCTCCTGGTTCTGGGACTGCCCGTTTGCATGTCCCCTCCCTGGGCTGCCGGTAGTCGGCCACCTCCGGGCTGACCTGCAGTGGCCAGTGCGGGCGGCTCCAGTGGGCTTCGTCCTGCATGTGGCCTCCGCCACCCCAACACCGCCCAGAGACTGTTCGGACCCCACTTCTGTTCACCGGGCGAAACGAAGGGCGCGGTGTGGCCGCTCACACGCCAAGGAGGACCGCGCTGAAGTGGGAGCCACTGTGCACCGTGAGGGCAGAGCCACTGGCGTTGTCCAGGAAGACAGAGGTGTACTGCCCCGTCTGCAGGGAAGGTCACAGTCAGCCCAGGTTCTGCCAGCCTGCAGGTGCGCCCCACAGATAAGCAGACCACCCCCCCCACCCACTCAGCCCCCCGAAGGTCTCAGGGCCAGGGCCGGGCTGGGCCGGCCTCGCCCTCAAACCCGGTGCCTCTGACCCCTCTCCCATGGCTTTCTCCCCGGCTCGCTGCTCCCATAGCACACGTGTGTCTGGGTGAGCCTCTGCTCAGGGCCAGCAACAGGTTCAAGACCCAAGACCCAGTAGGTTTCTCTGCTGCATGTGGTTCTCCAGACTGGGGTGAGGGTGGCCTCCAGCCATTTGGCAGAGCCTTCATGGGCCCGGGACTCTGGCCTGCCTGCTCCAAGTGTGGTCCACACAGCAACAGTGGCACATTCCCTGAGAACTCCCAGAGAAGCAGAATCTGGGGGCCCACCCACCTTCTGCATCTTAGGACCCCAGGTGGACCATGTGGCCCCCAGCAGTACCTGGGACCAGACCCTTGAATGCCTTCCAGCCACCACAGCCGCCGGCCAGACTCAGACAGCCTGGCCCGATTCCACGTGAGCTTGAGCACATTACTTAACCCTTCTCCGCCTTAGTTCCCTTATTTAGAAACAGTGGAAACACTGTACGTCAACTATACTTCAATAATATTTTCTTAAAACGAACAAAAAATAGTACCAGCGACCTCAAAGCACTATGATAATTAAGCAGATAGTTTACATAAAGAGCTCAGAACAGGGCCTGGTGTAGTGCTAATGAGGGGCCCGCTGTGACTCCATACATCTGCACTGCAGTGGTTTCTTGTTTAGTAAATCCCACCTTCACATTGGTTTCTCGATCCCTTGCCAAAAGCCCCCCAGTGCTAGAAAGAGACTGTCAGGTAGGGTTCTGTGTAGAAAGGAGGCCTCCTGATTCCCACAGTCTCAACAGGCCCAGGCCAGGCGTGGAGCGGACCTCTGTTCCCTCTGCCACCAGTCCCTACACGGAGCACCTGCCCTCAGTGTGGGGTGATGGGCAGGTCTGATGATTGCAGACTGAGCAGCTGAGCGCCTGCTGAGGAGGACCAGCCAGCGCTTGGGGGAAGGGGACCTGCAGGTGGCCCCGCTCTGCCTGAACCCGCGTGAACCCCCTGGTGTGGCCTGCAACCTCTCCCAGGCCCGCAGTCTGCCGGCACTGCTTCCAGAGATCCAGAGCCCCCATCAGCACCCCTCCCCCCTCCTGGTCACCCCCCAGTCGTGCCCAAGCCTGCCCCACGCACCTGCAGGTACAGAACACCATTGACCGAGATGGTGAAGAGCTCACTGCTGCCCTCCAGGCCCATGACAGCCTCCAGGGAGCTGTGGCCAAAACAGAGAGAGGATCAGCCCACACCCCCCAGGCTCCACCAACCTCACCCACAGATCACCCCAGCAACCAACACGGGCCCAGCTAAGTGCAGTGGTAACAGCTGTCTTGGCCAGGTGTTCTGGTGGAGGTGGCGGCTGAACTGGATCCCCAAGAAGAGTCAGGACAGTGTCCACAGGGCAAAAGGGGTTCTGCGGGTGCCGGGAGAGGCAAGCCGGGGCCCAGGCCAGGGGCTGAGAAGTCCTGGCTCTGTTGGAAACAGGACATGGGCTGGACTGGGGCCGGGTGGCAGCAACTGAGGCTAAAATGTGAGTTCAGGCCTCCGAACTCCGAGTAAGAAGTTCTGAACTTCATTCCCTTCTACAACTGTCGTGGGGTGCCTGGGCTCTGCTGGGGGTTCGGAGGCACAGCCGCTGCCCTCAGGGGCCACAGGTGCGAGGAAAGGGGGGTGCCATCATCTCAGGGAGCCGACGGCCACGAGGAGAGAGACTGGTGGTGGGCCGCAGTGGTCAGGAGAGGCCTCTCCGAGGAGGAACCGGTGGTGCCTCTGGGTGACAGAGAGCCCCCTGCAGGGGTGAGGGGAGCCCGGAGGCTGGGAAGGGGTGGGTTAAGAACAGGGAGCCCCCGCTGCTGGGAAGGGAAGGCCTGCTGCGGACCGGTGCAGGGACTGGGAGGCCAGCAAGAGGCGTGAGATCGCCCGGGGCCACGGTGCAGCGGCGATGGGCCATGGAGGACGGGGTCTGTCCAAGCCGGACGGGGCGCGGGTGGGGGCTACGTGGGGGCAGGTCTGGCGCCGGGGTCCCCCACCCCCCCGCTCCCACTCACGCGTTCCGCTGGCACCGGGACTGGATGCAGATGAGCAGGCGCAGGCGGTCCCGGGGGCGCGGCGGCCCCCGCCTGGGCTGCTCGTCGAGCGCTGCGGGGCAAGGCGGGGGCGGTCACGGGGGGGGGGCGGGGGCCACGCGCGCTGGGGCGGACCCCCTCCCGCCCCGGGCCTCACCCGCGTGCAGCGTGGCGGCGAGCGCGTAGAAGCCGGCGACTGGCGCCGTGTACTGGCCGCTGGTCAGGTTCAGGCCGGGGCCGCGGCGGAAGGCGCCCTCGGCGTCGGGCTGCGGGGCGCACGGAGGTCAGCCGGGGCCCGCCCGCGCCCCCCGCCCCGCCCGCCGGCCGGGACTCACCAGGTAGTAGCCGCCCAGCTCGTGCAGGGCGCGTCGCTCCACCGACGCGTCCCGGCGCAGGCGGCCGTGGAAGGCAGCCTCGACGCGCGGCGCCCGCGGGCCCGGGGCCAGGGGCGCCGCCAAAAGCGCCAGCACGCCCGTGTCCCCCGCCGCCGCCTCCTCGTTCTCCCGGACGGCGGCCGTGCCGTCGGCGGGGCCGCGCGTGCAGGGCTCGGGCTCCGTGCGCTCGCGCTGCCGCACCGCGCCTGGCACAGAGCGAGCCGTGGCCGCGCCCGCCCGCGCCCCTGCCCCTTGCTTCGGAACCCGCCCTGCCGAGCGCTGGGAGCCCGCTGCCCACGGCACCCGACCAACGCGCTGGTCCACGCCCCGGGATCCACGGAGACCCCTCCGGGGCTGCAGGGCCCGCAGGCCCGGCTTCCCAAGCCCGCGCTGCTCCCGCTTCCCTTCAGGCTTTGGCTACCAGGGAGCTCGCGGTTCCCTTGCCCTGCCTCACATCGCCCTGGTTCTCCTGCCTCACCTCGCCATCTTCCCCACGCTTCCCCCTCACGCTGCTGTCTCCTCCGCTTACAGTTCTACTGTACCCCCGAGAGCAATCGTATAAGCTGCCCTGCTCACTTCTGCAAGGAAACCTCGTGTAAGTTAAGTACTGCGCGGAGATTCTTTAGCTTTCTGAAGCTGGTCTATTTAAATAAACAGTACACTGAATTGAAGGGGGGGAAAGGCTCTCCTAATAGTTCTCATAATAAAGTAAACTCTGGTAAACGTAGTGAACATGCAGGGCCAGCTCCATGCAGGGCCAGCTCCATGCAGGGCCAGCTCCTGGGCAGAACAGCTCGGCTCAGCTGTCCGCCCTCCCTCTGCTGCCTCCAGCTCAGCGGCCCCCAGCCTGGACCGCACCTGCGCTGCCCACTACACGCTCCTTCCTGCCCCCTCCCCCGTGGGGCTCTTGGCTGGCCGCTGAGACCTGCCACGGGAACAGGCAGGGACACAGTGATCCAGGGGGAGAAGTTGGGGTCTCAGTCGGGGGCCCGTGTCGGGGTCTCAGTCGGGGGCCCGTGTCACCTGGTGTGAGTCTCAAATTCCCATGGTTTCTTTGTGATCAAGAGCACTTTGCAAGGTTAAGGACCTCTGATCCCGGGGGGCGCCTGGGTGGCTCAGTTGGTTGGGCGACTGCCTTCGGCTCAGGTCATGATCCCGGAGTCCCGGGATCAAGTCCCACATCGGGCTCCCTGCTCTGCGGGGAGTCTGCTTCTCCCTCTGACCCTCCCCCCTCTCATGTGCTCTCTCTCTCTCATTCTCGCTCTCTCAAATAAATAAATAAATCTTAAAAAAAAAAAAAAAAAAGGACCTCTGATCCCTTCCTGATGATCCTCACTTGGCGGGGGTTGGGTACAGGTGTCCTGGCTTTGGCTGGGCTCACCTGACTCCCAGAGGGGGCATGGGTGCTGGTCCCCGAGCCCCCGCGGAACACTGAGTGCCAAGTCCACCTTCTCTGTGAAGCCTCCTTACCACACTCCTGCGAGCCCCCGCCCGAGCCCAGCACAGAGCAGGGGCCTCCTTGAGTGCCGGCCGCTGGGGCAGTAGCCAGCCATCTCGGCTCCTCCAGGATACCCTCCCGTGGCCGCACGCGCACCGAGGGTGTGTGTGCCCCCACAGGTGCACTCCCCCTACCTTTCAGCAGCAGCTGGAACTCCTTCAGCAGGACCTCAGGAGGGACGATGGGGCCAGGGGGGCCCTGGGGGCCGGGGGGCCCTGGGGGCCCCGGCAGACCAAGCTGAAAAGGAACCTCAGCTGTGAGGCTAAGTGAGCAGGGAGGCAGGGGGCTGCTGGGAACCCTCTGCAAGTTCTTGCCACTAAGAGGCAGGCAAGGGCGCCTGGGTGGCTCAGTCGGTTAAGCGACTGTCTTCGGCTCAGGTCATGATCCTGTAGTCCCAGGATCAAGTCCCCGCATCGGGCTCCCTGCTCGGCAGGGAGTCTGCTTCTCCCTCTGACCCTACCCCCTCTCATGAGCTCTCTCTCTCATTCTTTCTCTCAAATAAATAAATAAAATCTTTAAAAAAATAAAATAAAATAAAATAAAATAAAAGAGGCAGGCAAGAGGGGATCCTGCTTTGACCTGTGGGGTGGAGGTCAACCTCTGGGCCTCAGACTCCTCTGAGACAGGAAGGCTCTGCTTTGAAAGCCACCAGCTCCGACTGGAGGACTGGATTGTGCCTGAGGCCCAGGGCTGGCTGGGGTGGTGGGGCCCCTGGGGGTGGAGCTCCAAGCAGGCAAGGACCCCAAGTGGGGACACAGAGGGGTTCCCGGATGGAGGGAAAGAGGGAGAGAGGGACACCGCAGGTCAGCCAAGGTCAGCAGGTTCTCACTGTGCCTGGCCCCACGCTGGGGCCTGGGGCCCTCAGGGAGCCCACCCTGGGCTGGGGTGGGACCCCAACACAGGAGCAAGCCAGTCCTCTGCAAGGGAGGGCACAGGGGAGCCCCAGCTTAGCTTGGGGTGGGGCCAGGTGGCTCCAAGGGGTGGCAGTCAGGCAAGGTCATGGTGACAGCCCAGCAGCCTGCTTGCCTCAGGCTCAGAGCCCAGCACCCCAGTGTTGGGGCCGACCCGGGGCAGGGAGAGGTCAGCCCTGGGGGGGCGGGGGCGGGCAGAGAAGCCCAAACCCAGTGTGAGCAACACAGCCCTAGCCCAGAGCTCCCCATCCCAGGGGACAGGCAGACATCAGGACCAGCTGCCGGGTTTCTGGCTAGGCTGAATGACAATTGGAACCCCACAGCACCCAGGGTCCCCAGGCTCCCCACCTCCTGGGAACCAGATGGTGTGTCACTCCAGCCCCACTGCAGCCCCCCAGCTCGGTCCCTGACTGCCTTCCCAGGCCAGCCCAGGCCTCCCTCGCTAGGATACAGAGGGAAGAGAAAGGGGGGGTAGCTGATGGGGTTGCCTAGCTTTCTAGGCGTGCAGGAAAAATGATAGGTACAGGCCTCAAACTCAGGGTCTCCTGGGCCCCCCCAGCTTGGCGCTCTCTGTGCTCTCTGACCCCAGGCCAAGGGGGAGGGTCTGTTCTCGCTGGCAAGGCTCAGGGTGAGCCAGTGGGGCTGGTGAGGGGTGCAAGGGGATGATGGTGGTGGGCTGGGGGTGCACGGAGGGCCCGCAGGTGGAGGCCCCTTGCTTGCCGTACCCGGCCCCCACAGGAAACTCACGCACACACAGCTGGGGCTCTTGCGCTCACCTTCAGCTTCCTGGCCTTGCCTCTGCCTCCCCTCTTGCCGTTGACACCTTTGTCACTCTGCCTGATGAAGAGCATCCAGGCATCCCTGGGGTCAAAGTTACGTGCTCCCTCGGCGGTGGGCTCCTGGAACACAGCCAGCCCCCAGGTTGGTTCACCTCCCCCAGCGGGTGCCCGCCAAACAGATGGAACTTTTCAGGACGTCACTGTGCGGGACGGGCCTTCAGCGCCCTCGGACCCCTGTCCTTGTCAACAGTGGTGCCCTCCAAGTCAGCAGAGCCCCCCATCCATGCTTCCCTCCCTCCTGATGCATGGAGGACGACCAGGCCACACCACTGCCGGGGCGCTGTGCGAGAAGACTTTGTGGGTGGAGGAAGATGGGGTGCAGAGCTCCGTAGCGGGTAAGAAGTGAGAACCCTGGCATGGCTGGGCCACCTGGCCTCTTATGGCCTCCCTCCGTGGGAGCTGCAGTGAACACACCACCCTGGGAGACTCACCAGGAGGATCGGACCAACAGACTCAAAAGTGCTAGGGAAGAGGCGACTATGACCATCAGGGCCCTTGTGCGGCCCCCACTGATGTTCCAGGGACGCCCACTTTGGCCCTTGGGGTAGCCGCAGCTTACGGTACAAGACGGTCGGAGGGCTGGTGGCCTAGCACTGCTATGTGATGACTCAAGGCCCCTGCACTGAGTCACTCGGCTTTCCCAGGACCCCCAAAACAAAGACAGTGATGATTCCAGAAACATCCATTCGCCCACGTGCTGCATTCTGACCAGTCCTCACACTGAGGAAAATTCCAGGAGGTGCCTTCCAGGCAGAGGCCTTTGGCCTATTAGTCCGTGGACTTCAGGTAGTCTGGACTCTAAGGCAAGGCTTCCAGCTGGGAAGGAAATCAGCTCGAGGGCTCAGATGAGGTCACAAGCACCAGGGCAGGTGGCCGATGGAAGGACTCGGGGTTTTTGAGCTGGCCAGGACCTTCCGTCAGAGCCAGGGCCACCGGTCTCCTGGCCGCTCTGCAGGGCCTGGGGCCTCCCTTTGGGAGCCAGGGTGCGACGGGGGGGGGGGGGGGGACAGGGCCATCCATGTCAGAGGAGCCTGGGGTTGGACAGAGAAAGGCCTCAGAGTGCCCAGGGTCTCCCCACGACCTGCTGGGTGCTGGTGGGCCCTGCCACGTGCTGTCCTGCTGCTTTGCTCGCCAGGGACACAGGACTGGATTCCGCTTTACGGCCTCATGCTGCCTTTGGCGGGCACACATGCCGGGAATATTCCACACAGGCTGGATGGGTGCACCAAGCTGACCCCCCCCAGCTGCACTCGGACCCCAGTTTGGTTTGGGGGGAGCAGAAACAGGTGGAACCATGTTAGCCTGCGGCCCCAGCAGACAGGCCTGTGGCAGCCTGGGTGGGTGCTGGGCAGCGGTCCTGGCCCCACCGAGGTCTCCAGCCTTGAGGGGCTCTCAGAAAGGAGGTGGGAAGCCTCTGCCACCACGTTGTCCCCCAAAGGCAGTCCAAGGCCAGAACGCTTCCTGGAAGCACAGAAGGCCCCTTGCCTCCTGGGGACTAGCTGACATCTCCCTCCTCCAGGAGGTGTGGCCAATTGTCTGGGTGGGGTTTGCCTTCCCTGGCTTCCAGGGGTGGGGAGGACTTGGGAGTGGCTCCTCCCAGGGAGCCCCAGGGCTGGCTGCCACCTTCACCCTCTTCAGAGGAGGTGTCCTTGGACTTTGTCGCTCCAAGTTCCCCCACTGCCCCTAAGCATCTTCCCTGAGGGCCCTCTCCCCTCCCTGTCTGAAAGGCCCCACCCACATTGAGGGCTCCTGGGAGGCCCCCTGATGCCCACTTCCCCCACCCTGACCACTCTGCACTGCCCTCACAGGAAGGAACAGGGCAGAACGAAAAATCACCTCTTCATGGTCAGAAGTCACAGGCCCCCATGCTCCCCAGACCCAAAGGGAGGCACTTCTTTGGATTTTTCAGACAGAACTTCACCTAATAGATTGGGGGGAGGGTGGCCAGTAATTGGCTCACACTTTTACAAACAGGTTCTTCCCAGTTTCAGGAGAATCAAGTTACTTACGTTTTATTCACTTCGCAACTTCCTCCTGCCCCCCCCCCCCCCACAAGGCGTTTTGCCTGGGCTGGCGGAATGTTGCACGAACTACCCCAAAGCCCAGGAGAAGGCCGGCTGGCTGCGCAGAGGGGCAGCGTCCAGACGTCCTGTGGCTCCCCCAGCCCCGCAAGCTAAGCCCCGCTTCCATCCCTACTTCAGACAGGACGACACCTGGGTCAGCCCAGGTCCCTGCCCGCGACGCCGCGCCTCCCACCGCCCCAAAGCAAGCGCCCTCCGCCCTTAGGGCACCCGGACCTCAGGGAGCTGCGGGCTCAGGCGGGGGCAACGGAGGCCCGAGGTGTCCAGAACGCGGGGCGGCCCGGCGCGCGCAGGAAGGCCGCGGCTTCTTACCGACGGGCGGGCGGGCGGCCCGGCGCGGCTCTCCCCGGGGCCCGCGGGCAGCTCGTTCCCGGGGCCCGGCTCCTGGCGGCCGCCGCTGTCCGCGGGCTCGCCGGGCTCCGGGGAGACGAGGCCCGCGGCGGCGGCCAGCAGGCCGGCACAGACGAGCAGCAGGCGGGCCCCGGCGGGGCGGCGGGCGGGGGCCATGCGGGCGGCGGGTCCCTCTGGCCTCCGACGTCTCGGGATCGCGTTCCCGCTCTGCGCCTTATAACGCGCTTGAATCCCCCGCCTCGCCCGCCGCGCGTCACGAGCCTGCGCCCCCTGCCGGCCCCGACGCGAACTGCAGCGTCTGCCTGGACGCGCGCGCGCGCGCGCGTGTGTGTGTGTGTGCCCGGGTGCGCGCCTAAGTCTACCTGTATGTGTACGTCCGTGTGCGTGTGCGCGCCTGTGTGTCCGCTTCTGTGCCTGTGTGTGTGTGTGTGTGTGTGTGTGTGTGTGTGTGTGTGTGGCGCGGGGAGGCGGAGAGTGGGGAGGGAGGGGGCGCTGCAGCGGAGGGGGGCATGCAGCGAGCGGGGAGTGCAGGGCGGGGCGCGGGTAGGAAAGCGGGGCACGGAGCAGGGTGGGGGTACTAGGGGGGGCCTACGGGGGCGAAGAGGGGCGCAGGCAGGACTCTCTCGCGTTGGCCGGAGCGCCCAGTCCTGTGGAGCGGGTGTCCGCCCCGCGGCTCCTCCCTTTGCGCTGTCCCGCTCCTCTCAGGAGAGCCGGGGTGCCCCTTCATCTGACCCTGGACCCTCCGCCCTCTTGACACCCTTTTCTCTCCGGGCAGCCAGGTCGCCTCCCTCCTCTGAGCCTGGGGGCAGCCCTGCTCCCATCTGTTCTGCTCTGAGGCCTGTGGGGACCACGAGGCTTATCCTGGTGGCACCCTGTGAGGTCCAGACCCCACCAACACAGGTTTAGTACATCCGAGCGGGAAGACACTCAAAGACCCTCCCCAGTGCCTCTTTCCCATGTGGGGACCCCTCTCTTCCGGGGCTGCCTTCTCCCCGTGGTTGGGGTGCCCTGAACTCAGAGGGGGCTGCCTTCCCCATCCCCGTTGGCAGAAGGAATCCACACCCTGCGGCAGCCACCCGGCACTGATGTGGTGGAACCAGGGCCCAGGCTGGGAGGACTGAGCCCTGTGGCGACCTAGCCAGGCACAGGGGCTAGATCCCAAGGCCCAGCCCAAGGTCCTGCTGGAGAAGGGGAACCAGATCCTGCAGGCCTGAACTCCAGGCTCCTCCCTGACGTGAGCCAGCCCCCCCACCCCCTCTGGGCTGCTTTGTTCTATTCCATACCCACTGCCTCTCTGTCTCCAGCGGAAGGCAGGAGGGTAGCACTGACGCGCCCGCAGTTGGTGGGCACATCGCGTCCTTTGTTCAAGAGCAGGAGAAGGCACAGCTAAGGGACACACCTTCCAAGGGCCTGCCACCCACATCAGAAGATGATTTCCACCTCTTCAGAAGAAAAGAGGCCTCACACCCTGTTGTATTTCACAGACACTGGAAACTGAAAGCAGGCGGTGTCCTCCCTAGCTGGGGGGGGGGGTGTCATGGGAAGTCCCCAGCCAGGAGCCCCCCACTCCTGCACTGTTTCAGAGGCTGGCTTCCTGTGCCCAAAAAGGGAGGGGGAGAGGTGGGGGGCTGTGGGGGACACAGGAAATATTTCATACTTTAGAAAAAGCCTGGTATTAGGCGTTCATTGTTCTGTGACTCTGCCTCTTTTCCTGTAGGAGGTGAGTATGGTGATAGAGTTGGGGTTTTTTGGAGGGGAGGGTGTTTAAACAAACCAAACACCCTGCCTACCCTGAGAGTCTGTCCCCCCAGGGGTCAGTGTGTCCCACAGACTTATTCTGTGGGGTATCTTTCGGAGGCAAATTAAGACTGCAACAGAGAAGTTCTGTCTGTATCTTGAAAAAAAAAAGTTTTTTGAAATTATCAGTAGAATGAAAAATTTGAAATTCCTATAGAAACTGCAGATCCCCAAGAAGACATTTGGTAAACACTGGCTTATGTAATATGCACTCAACAAAATATATGAACTTCTTCCATCTGCAAACATTCAACCGTTTTGTCGCTAATAAGGAATCAAATCAGTTGAGGTTGTTGTAATGGCTTCAGACAATTAAGGATTTCTTGGGTGGGTTCCAGTTTCTGGTCCCCCGAGGAAAGTCTGTTAGGAAGCTGGGTGTGTAGAACTTCGCAATGACATGTTTGTGCTGGGACATGGGCCTCAGTGTTAACTATCACAATTTTGTTCAGTTTCATTTATTCAGGAAGACTTTATCTGGGCCCATAGGACGCCAAGTGTGGGGCGTGTTCTCTCTACCAATCTGCTGGTAGAGAGAGGCTCCTGGCCCCGGGAGATGCAGCTTGCAAACAGTCATTTCATGTTTCTGAAAACACACGTCCACACCCAGCCCCTCCTCCGCTTTTCACTGACCACACGGACTAGCCCCGCGAGGTGGGTAGCTTATGTAGGGACACCCAGCCAGCGCTCGGGGCCAGGGCCAGGCCTTCTTGCCCCCTGGGCATGGTCCCATCTTCACAATCACACCTCTTGGCCATTATGGTCCTTCCTATTCTGGATGTTGGGAAATATGAGCTACATGATGAGCTTGAAGGTTCTTGATGAAAATGTGGCCCTGTCCTTCCCCTAAAGCAAGCCAGTACCCATAGGCTTGGGATTTCCCATGGGTGTCTGGCTGGGAGGGAGGTCCAGGGTAACACGTGTGGCTGGCCACTCTTGAACCCAGTGGGCTCACCCACAGAGCATTCCAACCTTGGGTGGTAAGTGGAATGCCATGGGGGCAGCCCTGCATGGTGGGAGGGAAGAGGCTTCTCTTGGGGGCCACTTGCAGATCCTGACTCTGCCTCACTGCTGATGGTAGCCAGTTTGTTCCAGAGATCCTTGGAGTTTTCTTCTAGTTTTCTTGCCTGAGAGCTGGGATCAATGCACACCTGCCTCTGGGGCCTCTTCTAGGGTGAGCTGAGGTCACGGTGGGCACTGTGCAGGGCCGTGCGTGAGGCTTGCTTGCCTTCTAGGCTGCCTAAGTTGTAAAGGTCCCTGGCCTAAGCCATCAGCACCATGTCATGGAGGGCTGCCTTCAGACGGATATGAAGACAGAGGCTCCAGGCAGAGCATGATTGGAGCACGAGATAGACCAACCCGGCAGTGCGCCTGCTCAGCAAACCTGGTTCTTGCTTGGCCATCTGGAGCAAAAGTCATATTTGGCTTTGGAGGAGGCACCCTTTAGGCATTCATCTCTCTGAGACTCAGTTTGCTGGTCTATAGAGTGGGCATAATGGCTGTTGCCCCTGAGCCTGTCTGGGATCCCACTCATAAGTGAGGTGTGAGCAGGCAAAGCCAAGACCCTCAGCATAGAGGCCAGGCTGCTTGGGTGCCCCACTTCTGGGTGGCTGGCCTGGATTCTCTCTGCAGGAATGTGATGCATACTGCTCTCAGGGCCCGAGGCCATTTGGCCCAACCTACACTGTGGAAAGGTGAAGCTCGGGCTCTGTCACCTTTGGCAATACTGGGGCCTTCTGGGAATGGAAGGATCCAATTTGGGGCATGTGATCCTTAAGATGTTCATGTGACTTCATTTCCACCTCACAGTGGGGGGTCCCAGCCCGCATGAGGCCAGCTTTGAGGACAGGAGCTGTTGCCATGTGACAAACAGTTATTTTCCCAAACAGTGAACAGTCCTAGTGATGTCATGGGCCCTGCCAGAGGACCCAAATCAAATCTGTTCTGGTGCTAGTACAGGCTCCCATCACGCTGTCCCGAGGTGATGACGCAGCCTGGCTCTGGGGCTGGAGTGCACAGAGGGCCAGGACCTTTAGGTGGGGCTCCCTCCATGTTTTGGGGTCCCATTTCAAAAATGAAATCCGGGCGCCTGGGTGGCTCAGTTGGTTAAGCGACTGCCTTCGGCTCAGGTCATGATCCCGGAGTCCCGGGATCGAGTCCCGCATCAGGCTCCCTGCTCGGCGGGGAGCCTGCTTCTCCCTCTGACCCTCCCCCCTCTCATGTGCTCTCTCTCTCTCATTCTCACTCTCTCAAATAAATAAATCTTTAAAAAAAAAAAATGAAATCCACCCAGAGGAGGGTGGGGTTTTAGGCAAGGATCACACAGGTCAAGGACCAGCAGAAACCAGGTTCTGGTGATTCCAGACAGCTTGTCCCCCTGCAGCAGCAGCCCCTGGGGTCGGAGCGAGGGCAGCATCTGGGCTGAGGTCACGGATCCCAGGATGGAAGTATGGAACGAGTGGCCACAGAAAGGAGCCCAGACGGAGCCCGAGGTGGCCTCCCCCATGCACCCTCATGCTCGGCTGAAACTTAATCCTCATTCTTGGGCCCTCATGTCACGGCCTCGGCCCTGGCTTCCCTTCAGCCTGCTGTGCTCAAGCTGTTCCCACTCTTCTCTTTTCCTCCAAAGGAAGGACCTCTGCCGATGAAGTCATGGGAATAAAAACTCCCTTTGCCCCTGAAAACAGTGGGAGCCTGAAGTCAACTTGTTGTGTGGCCTCTCAATGTCCAGGCAGGCAATTTTGCAGCTTACTGGAACCTTCCAAACACATGACATCATCTAATTTTCAAATTGTGTGATTATCCCCATTGCATAGATGGAGAAACTGAGCCTGAGATCTTGGGACTGGCCCAAGGTCACTCGTCCGGCCTTTGCAACTTGGGGTCAGTAGCCCATGAAGTGAAGAGTTACTCCGTTCCTGCTGCGTGCCAGGCACAGGGGTGAGTGCTGGGACTAAGCCATGCGCATCCTGGACAGGTCTGTGGGCAACCTCAGCCCCCACAGGGGAAGGGTCCTTTCTCACTTCTGCCCAGAGCGTCTCTTGGCTTACTGTCTGCTCATTGTTTCCATGTTTTCAATTAATTCACTTAAAAAAATCAGTCTAGCTCGCCTTCAGTTTTAATGTAAGAGGGTAGTTCTGTCTTGCCATCTTGAGAAGAATTATATATATATATTTTTAAGATTTTATTTATTTATTTGAGAGAGAGAACACAAGAGGAGGGAGGGTCAGAGGGAGAAGCAGACTCCCTGCTGAGCAGGGAGCCCGATGTGGGACTCGATCCCGGGACCGGGACTCCAGGATCATGACCTGAGCCGAAGGCAGTCGCTTAACCGCCTGAGCCACCCAGGCGCCCGGAGAAGAATTATATTCTTAAATGTGATTGTGATCTCAATGGCCCCCAGTCCCTGGCCTGAAAAGCCCTTGGACTGACTATCAGCGTTGAGGAAACCCCGCTGGCTCCCAGGGTGCTTATTCCAAATAGGAAATGGCGTCCTCCATGAAGGTTCTCTCTGAAGCCCGCTTCCCTCTTCAGTTAATCAGCGTCATGGCTGGCCACCCTCCTGTGCCTGCTCCAGGGGCCCAGCAGAATCAGATGCACACGCAACAACAGTAGCCATACTGCGGGCTGGGAGGCCCTGGGGATCAAAGATGAATGACACAGCCCTGGAGGAGTGGACATCCTTACCTTGCATGTGGCTGTAACCACCCCTTCTTAAGTCACAGACAGATTCCTGGTTGAAACTCCTACTTTCCCCTGGGCCAACTGGTCAACCAGCCAACTGGAACCGTGGTCTGAATTGACGACAGTGAACTGTCTTTTGACCAGTTCGTTTATTACAGATATTCACATGAGACTGTCAACTGCTTGATTCCAGCAATCACTGTCCCTTCCTAGTACAAGGAAGATGCTCAGTAATCAAAGGGTCTTGTCTGGGGGGGTACAGGAAAACCCACGTCCTTTGGAACTAACTGGCTTGAAGCATCTGGGACCCTGGTGCATCGGGGAACCACAGGGAGCTGAGCCTGACTTGGCTGCATTGGGCCTGGCTCCCGAGGGCACTGTACGGCACTCTCTGGCCACCAAAGTCTGAGTTCTGCTGGGGGGTCTCAGTTTACCCAACATTGTGAGAAAGACAACATGCACCCCCATGGCAGACATGAGCTCTTTGGGGCTGGGCAGGTGGTCTCACCCCTGTGGGCCTGAGAGTTCGGTGGACTTTTGCACATGCTCCAAGGTTATCCATTCTCCTTTCTAGAAACCCATACTAGCCCCCAAACCAGGGGCCTTTGATAAGGGAAGAGGATGGCTTGGGTTCCTCCACAGACATTCCTTGTGCGAATGTCCATGGGTGTCTGTCTTCCATGAGAATCCACTGAGTGTCCAGTTAGTGTGGTAGAAGTCTTCCATTTGTCCATCCTGGTGCCCTGCCCACTCTTCTCTACCTGCTCTCTGCCAATGGCCGTTCTCCCTCGGATTCTGTTTGGATCTGGCCAGTGGGAGACACCAGCAGGAGACTAGGGGGCAGGAAAGAGAGTGAGGTTGGGGCGTCTATTCTGCCACTTCGTCCCCACTGGGCCACAGGCGATAGTGGCCCAGGCTGTGTTCCTTTAGCAAAGGCCCCAGGTCCTTGGCACCCTCTCCCTCCTGCTCTCTGTCTGGAGGCTGCATCTGCTCCTTCCCATGCAGAGGGGCAGAAAGCTGGCAACAGCTCCCCACTGTTGCTAGGTTCCCCACTGGGAGCCTCTTCAGCCCTCGCTGAATTCCCTCTACCTGCCCACACCTTGGAAGTAGCCCTTTGTTAGACTGCCCTCTGTTACTCAATTTCAGGGTTCCTCTGTTTCCTCCCAGGACCCTGAAGGACACAGTTGGCCTGATCTAGGTGCCCCTGAATAGGGGCGGCTCAGCGGATCAAATGAGGGGCAGTTTGGCACCTAAGGGCTGAGGACCAGGCCCTGGAGTGGGCTGTGCTTCTCCCACCCCCGACGCTCTCCCCACCCCCCCACATTGCCGTGAGGTGTGCAGGAGCAGAAGCAGGCCTTATTCGAGAATACCACCCTTCCAACCCGTTCGTGATAAAAGAAGTCCATTCAACATGTTGAGTCTTTGTTTTGAAACAGTGTTTGGCTGAGTACCTTCAGTAACTGTTTAGAAAACATTGCAGAGGATTTTTCATAGGGAAAGGTTCAGGGATCCCAGAAACCGTCCTCTTCATGTTCATCCACTCCACCAGCTGACTAGGTGGCCTCAGATCTGGAGCTCTTGCTCCTTTGGAAGCAGATGCCCAGGAGGCCCTGCTCTGTCTAAGCCCCGGGGGGCAAATGCAATCATCCCACAGGAAACGGGCATGAGGCTTCAGGTCTGGGAGCAAGGTGGACGTCAGGGGACCTAGGGATTCCTTCCTCAGAGCCCAGGGACGCCAGAGGACTCTCTGGTCCCCAGGGGGTTTCAAAGAAGAGCCTTCAAGGAGAGGAAACTCAGTCCAGAGGGAGGCGGGAGCTCCTGAGGCCCCAGACGGTCAGTGCCAGGGCTGGAGCCAGGCTGGACCTAGGACCCCCAACTTGTAGCCCCGTGTGCCGCAATGAAGTTCGCAACAAAGGGGGAGGGCCACTTAGCACCAGTAAGAGTCCTTCAGTGGGATACCTTGTTAAGGACCAGTGAGAAGGAGTGGGGGGGGGTGTTGTGCCAGTTCTCCATGGGACCCCAGTCAGACTCAGGGGGCGTGGGGGCAGCCCCGAGACACCATGAGTCACACTGCGTGCTGGTAGGGGAGCCCATTGGGCGCTACCCTTCCTTAGGAGGCCACCTGGGAGCGAGGCACCAACGCGCCCAAGAGGCGTCCCCAGAAATCCCTGCAGGACCGCACCCTCTCCCCTCATGGGCCCACTGCTGGGGATTTTCATTCTTGCATCGGAGAAAACCACCCTAAGAAACAGGCGAGATCCTGGCCAGAGAGCATGCCTTCTGCTCACCTCCCTGGGAAGCCTTTGCTCACCCTCTCTCCCCTCAACCCCCACACAGACAGCGGACCCTCTCTCTTGACCCCACGCCCTGCCTCCTTCCTTCCCAGTGCATAATGGACGTGGAGCCTGAGGCCCAGAGAGAGGCGGCGGCCGGCTGCGGTCACACAGCTGAGGGCCAGGCAGCAGCAGGCTTGCAGAGGCCTGGTGCCCACGTACCCCAGGACCTTTGCTCTCTGATGCAGCTTCCTGGGCCACTCCTCCCTTGTGCAACTCCTTCGGAAGCCACGGGTAGGACACCTAGCTGGGGACGGCCACCATTCGGGGTGCTGTCTCAGTGCGACCCCCGGGGCCCCTTGGCTGCTGTGTCTGAGGCCTTAGACCCGCCGTGGGCAGGAGAGTGGCCTCTCCCCTCCGTGCGGGTGGCCGGAGTCCAAGCCCTCACTGCGGCTCCATGCAGTTAGTGAGGTGGCTGTGGGGACCCAGGCTGTGTTGTCTGATGTCCCTGGTGGCCCAAGCCCAGCACCTAGTGAAGAAACAGGCACAACCCCAAGGGGGGCCATCCCTCGGGGTCGGGGCGCAGCCGGGCCCTGCCCCCGTGTGACGAGGAGCTGCTCAGGGCTCCTGGGCCGGGCTGAAGGGCTGGGTCCACTTGGACACGTCTAGAAAGACCGTAGAGGCCCCGTGGTAGAGCCAGAGGCGGGGCAGGGAGCCGTGGCGGGTCCAGGTGTCACACCCACGGTCGTAAGCCTCCATCTCCACGTGGTAGTCGCCATCCATGCCCTGCCAGCGGCCGCCGGTCACATACAGCGTGTCGCCCAGCGGCACCAGCGCGCCATTCTCGTGCAGGCTGTGCAGAGGCTGCACCTGTGGGCACGCAGCGGTCAGGGCCCCGCGGGCGGGGGACACGCAGAGAGGACAGCCAGCGCCCTGTCCTGTTCCTTGGACCTCACCCAGGCTCCCCGTGGCTCCCCCCCAGGACCCTTCAGGCTGTGTCCCTTTACTGGGGAGACCCCAGTGCCCTCCCCTCTGGCCCACATCTCCCGGGACCACGTTTCCAGGCCCCTTGTTCTCCCAGGCCCAATTCAGTCATATGTGAAGTCACGGTATCAGACGGGCTGGGGGGCATGGAAGCCTGGGCTGGAGATGCCTCCCGGGGCAGGTTCTGGGCCGGGCCTCTGATTCATGGTTGCTCTCTTGGAGGGGACAGACGTGGCCTCAGCTCTGACCGACACACACACACACACACACACACACACACACACACGAGGGGCCGTTCGTGCCATGGGGAGCCTCACTTTGCCCCCGTACCTCCTGCCTTGGCCCATGGCCTGGGCTGGGGCTGTGAGGTGACAGCCAGAGGCCAGAGAGAGATGTGGATCCTTCTGGAAGAGCCCAGCGTGTGTGGGAAGGAGGAGGCCTGTCTATGGCCTGCACATGAAGGCAGTCATGGGCAGCCAGCCCCCCTCCCCTCAGGCCTGGAGAGGGCAAAGTGGAGCCCCTCATGGCTGGGATGCCTCCCAGAGCAGTGGCATGGGCCCTGCCGAGGCCTGGCTGTGGCCCAGCTGGGAGGGCCCAGAAAGAAAGAGCCGGCCTGGCAGGGCCCACCCTGCACCTGTCCTGCCACGGTAATGGGAGCCTCCAGTCAGCTGGGCGCTGATGCCAGGGGACAGCTGCAGGCGGCAGGATGGCAGAGGCCCCGCTGTGGGCCAGCTGGCCAGGGCCAGGGTGAGGGCAGGGAACAGTCCACCTCCTCTGGCCTCCAGGAATTGAGACTCTTAGGGCAGGTGGGGCGGGCCCGGGGTGTCGGGCTAGTGCTGAGGCCACTGTTGTGGGCACTGGGTACCATTCTTCCTCTTTCTCCAGGAGAAGCACAGAGAAAGACTAAGGCTTGAGACACCCAGCGCTGCTCTCAGCGGCAGAAGTGATAGTGAGGAGGGAAATGGGGCACCAAGGAGCTGGTTGCTCCCACTCTCCCCACAGCCAAGGGGTTCCTTTCCCTGCTCGGCCAACCCCACGGCTGGGAGACGCTCTCCAGGGCCTGGCCAACACCAGGCTGTCCCTGCAACACTCTGGGCTGAGCCTGGTTTTGCTCCCGGAGGAGAACAGACCACCCCGTGCTGGCGCAGAGCACCACGGTGACCAGGAGCCCCTGGTCCTTGGCTCTCCTGTCCTCGCCGGGGCTCCACCCGGGCTCTGGGCCTCATCAGTCCCTTGACTGTGGTGACATCCCCAGGCCCCACTATGCCCAGGCCGGCTCTCTGCAGTGTCAGGGGTCCCGGTTGTGGGGTGTCGCCCTGGGAGGTGAGGCCGAGACCCACCTTCTGCCACAGGTTGGCCCCGGGGTCGTACACGTAGACCTTCTTGGTGTTGTCGCCGACCAGGTAGAGGGCCCCCTGCAGTGCGGCACAGCGTGGCGAGGACAGGTACTTGGGGAGGAAGGGCGAGGTGATCACGTGCCATGCGTCTGTGGGGACAGCGCACCAGGCCCACCTCACCAGGGGGCCTCTGCCTCTTCCCCGCCCGTCGGCCGGGTCGGGGGACTGGGGTCCCCACCTGACCCTGGGCTCCGCCGGTCTCCCATGGGACCCTCGCACCCACCCTGCGACATGGGTTCTGTGATCATCACCATCCAGAGGATGAGAAGGGGAGAGGGGGGAGAGACAGGGCAGGAGCGAGCCGGGCAGAGCCCCCCTGGAGCCCCAACCCTGGCACGGAGCCCGGAGCCAAAGCTGGCGTCCACCAGGACTTGCAGGCCTGGGCCCCTGCTCCTGGCCCGTGGGGCCGGTTCCAGGCAGCTGTCGCAGCCAGGCAGCTTCGGAACCCGGAGGTGGGCTCCCGGTCCCCTGCCCCAGGCACCCCGCCGCCAGCCCTGGTTCCCTGCCCCCTGGGCCCCTGCCTTCCTCCACTGCCTCGTCCACCTCTGATGGGGCTGTGGCCATTTGTAAGAGGCCTGTGGCGGCCCGCTCCCTGCCCCCCCATCCCCAGGGCCCCCATCGTCCGCTCGCTGAGGCTACCCACCCACGTCCCCGGGCACCCAGCCCCACGTCGGGAGGGCGTGGCGGCCGTGCCCCCACCTGTGATAGGGTTGTAGCTCTGCAGAGCCAGAGGGTTGTACTTGCAGGCGCGGGACCCCACCAGGTACAGCCGGCCCCCGCAGCTGGCCGCCGAGAAGTTGCTGACGTACTTGAGGGCGGGGCTGCCGGGGGTCCAGGCGTCTGTGTAGGGGTCATAGCTCTCCACCTCCACCGCGTCCAGAGTGGTGCCTGTCGGGCGGGGGTGCGGGTCAGGGCCGCCAGGGGCCGGGGCAAGGGAGGGGCCCTGCACATGCAGAGGCGGCAGCGAGCACCCTAGGAGGGGCGGGGAAGGGCAAGGGAAGGGAGGCTCACGAGGCTCGTGCCTTACCCCTTCCACAGCGAGGGAACTGAGGCAAAGGCAAACTGGCCCGAGGCCACACCAGGGGCATGGGTGTGGGCAGCTGGGCCCAGGAACACTCGAGTCCCGACTGCACGACAGGAGCCCCAGGGCCACGCCTAGGTGCCCCCACCGGCCTTGGGCTCAGGACCTTGTGTGTGCTCTCTGCTCTCAGCCCGGGCTTGGCAGCCATGGGGGCAAAAGGGGCTGCCCAGGGCAGGTGGGGCACCCAGCAGTGGCCTCACGGCCAGTCTGTCACCCACAGGGGCCTTGGGAAACTCTTGCTCAGCCACAGTCATTCTGTTTTTCAATATTTATCTGACCGTAGGTGTCCCTGGGGTGATCCCTGCCACAGCTCTGGGGTGTCAAGGGGATAAGGTGGGCCTCTCTGCTCCGGCTGGGGGCAGGGTGGGAGCAAAGGTGACAGCAAAGGGGGAACCACTGTGGGTCTCCTCACCCCAGGGACTCCATAGACGGGGTGACCCTGAGCGGAGGGCTGAGCCCATGGTTCTGGGGACGGGAGCGTTCGGCTCTGCGGGCAGCTCAAGGCCCCAGCCCGCCCCGTCATTGCTGTTTTCAGAGTCCTTGCGGGAGCTGGCTATGGAGACTCATGCCTGAGCCTCACGCCAGGACATCCAGAGAGCAGGTGGCACAGCCTGGCCAGGCGCCCTGGTGGGGGGCTAGTTTATCCAGACGGCGAGCTCCTGAGGGCAGGAATGGGGGAGCATGCCTCTGCGGTCCCTGAGGCCGGGGGGGGGGTGCTCTCTGGTCCCTGGTGAGGGCATGGGGGTGGGGAGCCATTGTTGCAGGATTGAGAGGCTCCCAGAGGTGGCGAGGGGGCTGCAATGAGCAGGAGGCTGCCCCGGGGCAGGGGGACAGAGAGGCCTTACCGCCGATGGCATAGATCTCCCCGTTGAGCGCGGCGCTGGCGTGGTTGGTGCGGGCCTTCAGCATGGGTGCCACTGGCTTCCAGGTGGCCTCCTTCAGAGGGAAGCACCAGGCCTGGGTGGTTGACCAGGTGTCTGTCTTGGTGCCCCGGGAGCCACCTGTAGGAGAGGTTCTGACCCCTCAGGCTGGGGTCTCCAGGCTAGTGGGGGCTGGGTACCGGGGGTCCTGTCTCCTTCTCCCCATGCCAGGCCCCCATGGTGCCAGACACTGGGCTGGGGGGTGGGACCATAGGCGGCACGGGTCCCTCCCCGCCCCGTAAACAAGGAGGTCAAGATCCGTGGTTTCAGATCTTCGTCAGTGGTGATGGTTTCCCCAACCAAACTGTATACGGGCCCCCAAGTTCTCAGATACAAAAGAGCAGGGTGACCCCGCCTGCCTGACACACAGCTCCTACGGGGCAGGCCCTGGCTGAGGGAGCCTAGCGAGTGCACCCCGGCTTTCCATGGCAGAACACAGAATGGTTCCCTGCGCCCAAGTGTGGACCCGTGGATTTTAAATGTCTTTGTTTTCACATCACAGAAATGTCTGGAAGAGTCCTGCCTGAGCCGGAGGGGACAGCTGATTCTCGGTGGCGTCACGGTGATCAGCTCCCCGGACGGCGCTGCCGGGAACCCACCTGTGACATAGACAGTGTTGTTCAGCACGGCCAGGGAGAAGCCCCACTTGTGGTAGTCGGGGAAGTCCGGGAGCGCCATCCACCTCTCTGGCCGAGAGAGAGAGAGAGAGAGAGAGAGGCACAGGGTCAGGGTGGCTGAGCTCGCTGCTGGGGCCTCCCCTTGCCCCTCAGCGCCTCTTCCCACGCGGGTGCAGGGTGTTCCCTCAAGGGGCCGGACTCGGCTGGCCACAGTTGGGGGGTGGGGTGACACCCCGGCTGCTCCACGTGCCCCTGCCGGGTCTGGCTGCCAGCGGTCCCCACCTCCCCACGCTGCCCCCTGGAGCCCGGCATGCAGACCGGACACAGGACTGCGCCCAGGGTGTGCGGGGAGGTGGCCTGGGCTCTGGGGGCCGGAGGTGACCTCACTGACCCAAAGGGATCTTTTGGGTCCCACCTCTCAGATAGGGTAATGGGTTAAAGGGCCTGACCTCTGGTCCCTAGTGGGTTAGAACACGAACATCATTCATTCACTCGTTCCTCATCCATCATTCATTTCTTCGCCCTGAGCACCCTCTGTGCTGCGTGCAGCCATGGGCATGCAGGGGTCACACAGGGCATGACACGGGCCCTGCAGCACCCAGGGCGAGTCCAGACCCCCACTGTCATGTACCACCATGTGGCCCTGGTGACCCATGACCTCAGTTTCATCCTCCGTCGAGGGGGGGAGCTCCCACCTCACTGGGAGGTGCAGGGGGAGGGGTATAGATGACCCGCATCTGTCACGGGGCCACTACTCCATCAGCGAACCTGAGGATTATTGTCACTACGGCGAGGGACAGAGTCATGCACCCAACTTGGGCCACATTCAAGGAGCTACCTGAGGGTAAACTGAGACAAGAGATGAGAAAATGTTTGAAAAAATAAAAACGAGAATCTATGTGGGAGTGTCCGAGCCAACAGACACATTTTGGGTGCTCATGGAAGGCCGTGAGGAAGACCCAGGCCTCGGGGAGGTCTCCCTGGGAAGATTCTGTGTACCATTTGCGACCATCTTTAGGACATGCAGAACTCCAGCCTTGCTGGGCACCTGCCCTCTGGGCAGGGACTGCGTGTCCCCCTGACTCATGTCTGTGTCACCCCAGGGTGGGGACGGCCCGGCGGTCACCAGGCCTTTGCCTGCCAGCATGCCCCTGCTGTCCTCCCCTTGGGGGTGGAGGGACAGCTGTTCCCGGGTGCAGCCAGCAGAGCTCATCTCCTGACGTCAGCCCCCAAATCCCCTCGTCAGCCCCCGACCTGGGACAGCCGGCCTCACGCTTCCCGGAGCCCGCCAGCCGCTGACGCCATGGGGGCGGCTGGTGACTGGCCCAGTGGGCCCGGGACACCTGCCAACACTCCTCAGAGCTTTCAGAAGAGCTTCCCAGGGCCAATGTGGCCCCTCCAGAGACCTGCTGCCCTCCCACCCCTCCCCCTTTCCCGGGAGACCCTGTGACGGGGCCCCAGGCAGGAGAGGCCCCGTCCATGCCCGTTGGGTCCGCATCCCAGCTATGTGAGGAGCCCCGTCCACAGACGAGGAACAGGCTTGGGGCGGTGAAGTGAGCGGCTCAAAGGCTGGAATTAGAACCCTGTCTGAGCTGACCTAGGCCCTGTGCTCCTACCGTCCGGGCCACTGCACCCCAGCTCCCCGTTCTCCCCTTGGGGCCAAGGTTCCGTTGGGCACGCAGGGCGTTTTGGGCAGCAGAACCCTTTACCCTGGGCTCCAGGGCCCGAAAAGGCCAAAGCTGGGGGCTGTGGCTGGAGGGTGAGGGGGCCACCGTGCCCCGGCTGGCAGCCTCCCCTCCCCCTGCGCCGGCCTCTAGGGTCTCCTGCAGCCCCCCTCCCTGTGAGCACCTCACTCCCTCCAGCTGCACGGCAACACGAGGGGCTCGCGGGCCGCAGGGACGGCGTGCGGGCTACTCACTGGCCTTGCTGTTGTAGAAGGCGAAGTTCCTGGGGTGCGGGGCGGGCTCCTCGGCGCCCTCCTCCTCCTCCTCCAGGGCCCGCCCGCCCACCACCACCAGCACCTCCTCCAGCTTCTGCGGGAGGGCGAGCAGTGCCTGTGGGGCAGGAAGGCTGCGTTAGAGGGGCAGGCCCCGGTATTCCCCGTGCAAGGCCAAGGGCGGGCAGCGGCAGGCCTCGGGGGCATTCTCGGGGGCGGGGCTTTGGTGGAGCAGCTGTGTGCGCACGCATGGGGTGCTGTGAGCATGTGTGTGTGCACGCACGTGTGTGCACATGTGTCTGTGTGAGCACGCGCGCGTGCGCGTGTGTGTGTGTGTGCGCGCGCGCATCGTGGTTGTGTGGGGCCAGGCATGGCGGCAAACGCTCAGGACGGGAAGAGATGGGGCAGCAGGTGCATGACATGCCCCAAACCTGACCGCTGTTCCCTCCCAGCAGTCCCCACGTGCCTTCCAGAGGCGTCCCCCCGTACCCATCTTTGGAACCAACCCCAACTCTGTCCCCAGTACCCTCCCCTGGGCCAGCATGCGGCGTGCCGAACTCGGATGGCCCCGGCTGGGCGGGAAACGCCGGGAGCGTTCCACTCTGGTCGGCAAGTGGCCATTGCTCCGAGCTCCCAGGCCCCCGGGGCTCCCCTGCGTCTCTGGCCCCTCCCGCAGGAGGCCTGCACCTCCCACAGCAGCAATTCCAAGGTGACCGCCTGGCGGGACAGGGCCGGCACCGGGCCGGCCCACTGTGCCTGGCAGTGCCAGACAACAGCACGGGGTAGCGCTTTGCCACCTCACACCCTGACCCTGGCCTGAGCTGAGTCCCCAGGCCTGGCACCCGAGGGCTCCTCCAGGCAGGGCCCGGAGCAGGCTGCCCAGCCACGGACAGATTCATCGGGTCTGTGTCTGTCACATCGGGTCTGGAGCTGCCCTGCCTGCCATGCTCATCGCGCACCCCGTGAACGCTCGAGCAGGTTCCTGAGGGGCAGGTGGCCTGTGCACAAGCTGTGCCACCTTCCTGGACCGTATTCCCTCCTGCCGAGCTCCTAGCCCTCTTCTAAGGTCCAACTAAGATGCTGCCCCCCCCGGAGACCCCCCCCCCCGACTGGCCACCTTGCCCAGGATGCCCCCAGCCCAGCTTTGGCCTTTCTCACGCTGCCTTCGGTCTGTTTCCAGGTTTGTCCACACTGAGCTGTGCGCTCTGACCGGACTCGGACAGTCACTTCTGGGTTGCCCTTCCCCTCTCATCCAGGGTGTGGGACACACAGGGGCACCGGGGATGAATCATGATGCCCTCACAGGTAATCAGCCCAAGGCAGGTAGAGCTGTAAGGCCCAGGGCATCGGGGATAGGCACACTCTACACTCCTTCCCCAAGCAGGTCGGGGTCTCCCAGGCTCCCCTCCTCGCCCCTTGCTCACCTCATCGCGGCCCTGCGACAGGGCCACCCGGCACGCCTCTGACTCCTGGATCAGTGGCTCGGTGGCCAGCAGCCGCTGCACACAGGGTCTGGGCACGGCGTCCAGGCGCACCAGGCCAAGCAGCTCGGGGAGGTGGACGGCCCGGGCCGGCGGGTCATGGCGCACCCAGCGCAGCAGGGCCTCCAGCCGGCTCTGCTCCGGCTGCACCTGCAGCAGCTCACCAGCCAGACAGGTGGCCAGCCGGTCCTGGGGCAGCTGCAGGAACTCGTCCTCCTGGGCCACCGCCTCGAAGTTCTCCCGCAGGAAGGCCCAGGCCTTGGCAGCCACGCCCAACAGCCCCTGCTGCTCCCCAAACTCACAGATGCCCAGGCAGTTGGTGGCGTCCAGCTGCTGCTGCAGGTAGCGGCCGCAGACCTTCTGCACGGCGGGGAAGTGCAGGCGGGCGGCCGTGCGGGTCAGCGCCTCCACGTTGCCCTGCGTGACGGTCAGCCGGCCCGTGTACACGAAGTCCACCAGCTGCCCCACCACGGCGGGCTCCACGTCTCGCAGCTCCACGCGCGCTGAGAAACTCTCCGCAAAGTCGCCCGCAAACATGGCATGGAAGTAGGGGCTGCTGAGCGCCAGGAGGCCGCGGTGGCAGGGCAGCTCCCGGCCCCCCACCAGCAGCGTGACGTCGGCCAGCTTGGGCTGCGAGCGCAGCCGCCGCAGGCCGTCCAGCATGTCCTGGGCGTGCGAGGGCAGGCAGAAATCCAGGTCGTCCACGTGCCGCACCATGGCCGCCAGCGCCGGCGTGGGGCCCCACAGCCCGCCCGCTCCGCAGAGAGATGCCGGCCGACCGGGATCCTGGGGAGAGAAGGGGGCAGGGTCCGCCGGGCGGGGCACGGCTCCTCCACCCGAGTCGCCCATCCTTCCGTCTGGCCGTCCGTCCTTTCCACCTTACACCAGCCCTGGCGGAGCATCATAGCCATGCCAAGGGCCTCGCCCAGCCCCGGCGCCCTGTGCCGTGGGCTCAGTGTTAGTCCCGTCTTACAGTGAGAAGGCTGAGGCTCAGAGGGGGCTGGAGACCTACCCCTGGCCAGGTAATTGGGGCAGAGCGAAGCCGGCACGAAAACCACACCTGGCCCCCTCCACAGCTCTGGGCTGCACAGAGCAGACCTTCTGGAGCCTGGGGATCTCTGTGGCCCCCCACCTCCAAATGGATTCCTCTGCTCCTGGATCTGACCTTGTTGGGGAGGATGATGAGGGCCTTTGGAAGCTTTCCTGCCCCACTGATCCATGTAACTGCCCACAGTTACATGGAGCCTCGGGCTGCCATAACCTTGCTGGGTGACCTTGGTCCCAATTTTCTCAACTGCAGACCCAGAGGCTGGCAGGGAAAGGGGCTCTGTGGTCACAGTGCTCCCCACGGGCCAGGCCGTGTCTCGAGGGTGCCGGGTGCCCTCCTCACGTGGGCTGCACGACAACCCTGTGAGGTGGGTGCTGTCAGAGTCCGCGTGAAGGGGGGAACCACAAGCACGTCACCTGTCCAGCATCACACAGCTAGGACGTGGGGGAGCCAGGCTTGGGGCCCCTGCGCCGAACCCCCAGGTTACAGGTCCCTGGGTGTAAGTTGCTAAAGACAAATACGACTAAGGGGAAATCTCTGGACAGCGATTTCGAATCAGTGTTCATATCATTGGATTCAGCAAATCCACCTCTGGCTTATTTAATTATGTGCATATTCATTTATGTACTCCTGACATTTTACCCCAAGAAAGCTGCCCCAAATTTCAACCTACCTACCTACCGGCGACCGCTAAAAAAAGCTGCACCCCGGGGGACAAGGTCTGTCCACCGGGGGGCGCCCTCCAGAGCCGTCAAAGGGAAGGAAAAGGCCCCTCGGGCCACGGGGACCAAACCCTTGGTGAAATAAGTGGATCAAAATAACAAAGCCCTGAAAAGAGAACCGTGAACTGTGGGTGCCAAGGGGCAGGGAGGGCCCTGCTGAGCTGTGGCGCGGGAAGCGGGAGCTTAGGCAGCACCCCCACCCCTTTCCCGCCCCGCCCCGCCCCACCGGCGCCCCTACAGAGCAGGGCAGTACCCAGGGAGCCCCGCCGGGACAGGACAGGTCAGGGGCCCCGGCCAGCATCCCTCCTGCCCGACCCCCTCCCCGGGAGGCCTCACATTCCTGTCCACCCTGGGTTCCCGGCAGCCAGGCCCTCCAGCCCCGGGGGCCGGTGGACAGGGTGCCCACCCACCTTCTCATGGAGCCTCAGCTGTGTCTGCTGGCACCTGCCACCCTCAGGTCCCAGAACCAACGGGGTGGGGGCTTCCGGAGAGTCTCAGAGCCTCAGCCTGGTGCCTGTCCAGGCCAGCAGTGAGGAAGGCTCCAGTGGGCAGCACACAAAGGGCCTGAAGCCAGCAGCGGCCGGGCACTGGACACTGGGGTCCCGGCTGCGGCTGGAGGGTGTGGTCCGGCCTCCCTGTTGCCCGCCCCTCCAGCCAGGACACCAAGGGCAGTGTGCCGGCTGAGCCCTCACCATACCCAAGGGGGCCCAGCTTGACTGGGGCTGGGGGCTCTGTGTCCAAACACCCAGTGGTGTGATCTCTATGCCCCGCAGGTTATCCTACCATAACCTGACCTCCCCTGCAGCTCCCTGCCCCAAATCCCACCTCCCGTTCCCCGATGCCCATACTCCAGAGCTCCTGGGACCCTACCTCTCAGTCGGTCCCGGGACCTTGGAGAACTCAGGCCGGAGAATAGGGCTTCCCAGCCAGCGAGGGGCACGGAGGGCCTGCTGGGCTGGGCTGGGCTGGGCACCACGTGGGGACGGACAGAAGGGTATTTTTAGCACTGTCTGCACTGGGAGGGAGTGGGGGAGGGAGAGAGGTGATGCTCCTCCCAGGCTGTCTGCTCTGAAAGCCCACACTGGCCACATCAGGAAGGCTGAGGTCTCATGGACCCCAGGGACCAGAACGGACAGCAGGAAGCATTCCAGGGGGGACAGCGGAGCCTGGGCTGGAGACTCAGCAGGGGTGTGGAGGACCCATCTCAGGGCCTGGGTGTCAGTAGGGCCTGACGGGTACTCGCTTCTCTGATGGTCATTGACAGGTACCCAAGTGGCCTTTTGTTCATCTGTCAACCGGGGAAAGTGACTATCACAAGGAAATGCAGATTGGTGAGCAAAGGCTTTCAAAACTTGGGGTCCGCGGTGGTGGTTGGGAAGCCTTTGGTGGTTAGAGCGGTGCCCAGAGAGGTAAGGAGGCATCCCTGAGTGCTTCGCCGGGCTGGCGACAGGGACACTGGATCCCGAGGCTCCCGGTCACAGCGTGGCTTCGGCCCTGGGGCAGCCCTGGCGTCCTCACTTGTCGTGAGAGCCAGAGGTAGCAAAGAAATAGGGTCATCTAAAAATACAGCAGTGGCGGCCTGCAGCCTCCCCCGCAGCTCTGGGTTCACAGTGGTCACAGGGGAAGCCCTCACAGCTGGACCCGGGCCCCAGAGGGGGGGGGGGTCTCTGGCCATCTCTTCTGCCAACGGTCAGAGCAAAGCTTCCCAGCCGAGGACGTGCGTGTGCGCCTGCAGCCTGGGGAGCCCAGGTGAGGGCCTCCACCTGTCGCCCCTCCTTCCGTCACCCGCGTGGGCCTTGCTAATGCCACCCTTCCCCAGTCTGGAGGGCCGGGGAGGGCCGAGTCTGATGAAGGCCTCTGGATGCCCCTCCCCCAAGAGACTGGCCTGATGCGGTTCCAGTGCGGGGAGGCTCCCGGGGTGACAGCCCCCACTCCTGGCAAAGTTAGGTGATTTCTCAAGGGTATCGGGATATCATGACAGCTTAGGTCCTGGACAGGTGACCCCTGTCTGGCCATCATAGCCACTGGTCCTGCTCCCTACAGGATGGCTGTGAGCTCGGAGCCACAGTTCTGCTCTCACAGTGTGTGCGGTCTGGTTAGAACTCAGTCCTTACAGGGGCACCTGGGTGGCTCAGTCGTTAAGTGTCTGCCTTCGGCTCAGGTCGTGATCCCAGGGTCCTGGGATCGAGCCCCGCATCGGGCTCCCTGCTCCGCGGGAAGCCTGCTTCTCCCTCTCCCTCTCCCCTACTTGTGTTCCTTCTCTCGCTGTCTCTCTCTCTCTCTGTCAAATAAATAAAATCTTAGAAAAAGAAAAAGAACTCAGTCCTTACACAGATGGCGTCCACGACTGACTGATGACGAGTTTACAAGGTGCTTCCAAACTCTGCTCACTCGTGCTTCCTGATTCCATGCTGCCCTCCTCAGCCCTGCGCAGCTCGGTCATAGCCCAGCTCATCCCTTCCCAGTCTGCCCAGTTCAGCCCAGTTCAGCTCCACCCAGCCCAGCCTGCCCAGTTCAGCCCAGCTCAGTTCAGCCCAGCTCAGCCCAGCCCAGCCCCTGCTTCAGATAGTCCCAGGATCTCCCTGCTAGCCTTCAGCCTCAGCCTCATGTGGTCGCAGAGGGAAGGGGGATGCTCATGGACGTCTCCAGCTCTCACTTATCCAGGACCACCCTGGGGAAGCCACTAGAGGGGGAACAGAGGCGTCATTCTTGCTCCTGTGCTTGTAGCCAAACACAAAGGGTTAATGTGTACCAAGCCGAGGCTCTGGAGGAGAGAGGACAGGGTGTTCTGATGACAGGCCCCTGTCACCCGGAGTTGCCTCCCCTGGGGGCCTAACGGAGCCGACCTAGTGCCTCACATGACTAGTCAGTTTGGGAAACTAGATACCAGGCGCTGGAAACAGATCTTTACCAACAGATTGCTACGGAGTGGTGCAGTCTTTAAAAATATGCTGCTTGTTTCTTCTCATGATGATAAAAATAACACATGTTCATTTGTGGAGCATTTGGAAAACACAGGAAAATATGCAGCAGAGCAATTCGACCAGTAGAAGACAATCCCCGTGAACCCACGGGAATCTCCCCTCTGGTCTTCCCCACGTCAACGTGCGGATGGCGGCGGGGGTGTTTGCGCATCCTATTTTATCGTTTTATATTACAACCCCAGCGTTTCTGTTGCCATCGGTCTTTGAAAATATGATCTTCGATTTCATCATACTGTGAACGTATCACACTTTAAGAATTCGAAGGGACATCCAGTCACTCCTATTAATGGACATTCGGGTCGTGTCATTTTGGACTATGAGAAATGATACGGTGCCATCTCTGTGATTCAGAGTCAGAGGGTGAAGTCCCCAAGTTAGAGTGTGTGCTCATCTCTACAGCTTGATGCACCTTCCGGAGGGCAGGCTGGCATGGCCACTGGGGCGCTTCCTCCAGCAGGAGGGCACCTGCAGGTGGCCAGGCCATCTGGCGCACCTGACCTGCCCAGCCCTTCCTTGGGGGTTTTAGAGCTTTGCCTGCTTCCAGCATCTCTTATTCCATCTGGGATTTTGGGGGGCAGGGGCTGCCCTAACGTCCTGCTCCCCCACCCTCAGATAGTTTACCAACACTCTGGGGACTACTATTGACCATTCCTTCTTTCCCCCGTGGATTTGCTGTGGCGTCTTTGTCTTAGGGCAATGTTTTCTGTGTGAAGTATCTCAGCTTCCTCTGTTCTGGTCTGTTGATTTGAGCGAAAGGTATTTTGGGGTCAGAACCACCTGGTTTGATGGACTACTGCTCTACAATTATGAGTCTTCATATCTAAAATGACTCTTCCACTTTAATCTTGTTCGCTGTATTAGTTATCTGTTGCTGCATGACGAATGACCCCCAAATCTAGTGTCTTCCAAGATTTTATTTATTTATTTGAGAGAGAGAGCGAGAGCTAGAGAGATCACAGAGGC